TAGCAGAGATCGTGGTTGGTAGCAGAGATCGTGGTTGGTAGCAGAGATCGTGGTTGGTAGCAGAGATCGTAGTTGGTAGCAGAAATCGTGGTTGTTGGCAGAGATCGTGGTTGGTAGCAGAGATCGTGGTTGGTAGCAGAGATCGTGGTTGGTAACAAAGATCGTGGTTGGTAGCAGAGATCGTGGTTGGTTGCAGAGATCGTGGTTGGTAGCAGAGATCGTGGTTGGTTGCAGAAATCGTGGTTGGCTGCAGAGATCGTTGTTAGTAACAAAGATCGTGGTTGGTTACAGAGATCGTGGTTGGTAACAGAGATCGTGGTTGGTAACAGAGATCGTGGTTGGTAGCATAGATCGTGGTTGGTAGCAAAGATCGTGGTTGGTAGCAGAGATCGTGGTTGGTAACAGAAATCGTGGTTGGTAGCAGAGATCGTGGTTGGTAACAGAGATCGTGGTTGGTAGCAGATATGGTAGTTGGTTGCAGAGATCGTGGTTGGTAGCAGAGAGCGTGGTTGGTACCAGAGAGCGTGGTTGGTAGCAGAGAGCGTGGTTGGAAGCAGAGATCGTGATTGGTAGCTGAGATCGTGGTTGGTAGCACAGATCGTGGTTGGTATCAGAGATCGTGGTTGGTAACAGAGATTGTGGTTGGTAGCAGAGATTGTAGTTGGTTGCAGAGATCGTGGTTGGTATCAGAGAGCGTGGTTGGTAACAGAGATCGTGGTTGGTGGCAGAGATCGTGGTTGGTAGCAGAGATCGTGATTGGTAACAAAGATCGTGGTTGGTAGCAGAGATCGTGGTTGGTAGCAGAGATAGTGGTTGGTAGCAGAGATCGTGGTTGTTAGCAGTGATCGTGGTTGATAGCAGAGATCGTGGTTGGTAATAGAGATCGTGGTTGGTAGCAGAGATCGTGATGGTAACAGAGACATGTGGTTGGTAGCAGAGATCGTGGTTGGTAACAGAGACATGTGGTTGGTGGCAGAGATCGTGGTTGGTATCAGAGATCGTGGTTGGTAACAGAGATCGTGGTTGGTAACAGAGATCGTGGTTGGTAACAGAGATCGTGTTTGGTAACAGAGATCGTGGTTGGTAACAGAGATCGTGGTTGGTAACAGAGATCGTGGTTGGTAACAGAGATCGTAGTTGGTAACAGAGATCGTGGTTGGTAGCAGAGATCATGGTTGGTAGCAGAGATCGTGGTTGGTAGCAGAGATCGTGGTTGGTAGCAGAGATCGTGGTTGGTGGCAGAAATCGTGGTTGGTAGCAGAGATCGTGGTTGGTAGCAGAGATCGTGGTTGGTAGCAGAGATCGTGGTTGGTAACAGAGATCGTCGTGGTTGGTATCGTGGTTGGTACAGAGATCGTGGTTGGTAGCAGAGATCGTGGTTGGTAACAGAGATCGTGGTTGGTAGCAGAGATCGTGGTTGGTAACAGAGATCGTGGTTGGTAGCAGAGATCGTGGTTGGTAACAGAGATCGTGGTTGGTAACAGAGATCGTGGTTGGTAACAGAGATCGTGGTTGGTAACAGAGATCGTGGTTGGTAACAGAGATCGTGGTTGGTAGCAGAGATCGTGGTTGGTAGCAGAGATCGTGGTTGGTAGCAGAGATCGTGGTTGGTAACAGAGATCGTGGTTGGTAGCAGAGATCGTGGTTGGTAGCAGAGATCGTGGTTGGTAGCAGAGATCGTGGTTGTGGTTGCAGAGATCGTGGTTGGTAGCAGAGATCGTGGTTGGTAACAGAGAGTCGTGGTTGGTAGCAGAGATCGTGGTTGGTAGCAGAGATCGTGGTGATGGCAGTTCGTGGTAGCAGAGATCGTGGTTGGTAACAGAGATCGTGGTTGGTAACAGAGATCGTGGTTGGTAACAGAGATCGTGGTTGGTAGCAGAGATCGTGGTTGGTAGCAGAGATCGTGGTTGGTAGCAGAGAGCAGAGATTGTGGTTGGTAGCAGAGATCGTGGTTGGTAGCAGAGATCGTGGTTGGTAACAGAGATCGTGGTCGTGGTTGGTAACAGAGATCGTGGTTGGTTGGTAACAGAGATCGTGGTTGGTAACAGAGATCGTGGTTGGTAGCAGAGATCGTGGTTGGTAACAGAGATCGTGGTTGGTAGCAGAGATTGGTGGCAGGATCGTAGTTGGTAACAGAGATCGTGGTTGGTAACAGAGACAGGTGGTTGGTAGCAGATATCGTGGTTGGTTGCAGAGATGGTTTTTGGTAGCAGAGATCGTGGTTGGTAGCAGAATCAGGTGGTTGGTAGCAGAGATCGTGGTTGGTTGCAGAGATCGTTGTTGGTAACAGAGATCGTGGTTGGTAACAGAGATCGTGGTTGGTAACAGAGATCGTGGTTGGTAACAGAGATCGTGGTTGGTAGCATAGATCGTGGTTGGTAGCAAAGATCGTGGTTGGTAGCAGAGATCGTGGTTGGTAACAGAGATCGTGGTTGGTAACAGAGATCGTGGTTGGTAGCAGAGATCGTGGTTGGTAGCAGAGATTGTAGTTGGTTGCAGAGATCGTGGTTGGTAGCAGAGATCGTGGTTGGTAGCAGAGATCGTGATTGGTGGCAGAGATCGTGGTTGGTAACAGAGATCGTAGTTGGTAGCAGAGATTGTAGTTGGAAGCAGAGATCGTGGTTGGTAGCAGAGATTGTGGTTGGTAGCATAGATTGTGGTTGGTAACAGAGATCGTCGTTGGTAGCAGAGATCGTGGTTGGTGGCAGAGATCGTGGTTGGTATCAGAGATCGTGGTTGGTGGCAGAGATCGTGGTTGGTATCAGAGATCGTGGTTAGTAACAGATATCGTGGTTGGTAGCAGAGATCGTTGTTGGTAGCAGAGGCAGGTGGTTGGTAGCAGAGATCGTGGTTGGTTGCAAAGATCGTTGTTGGTAACAGAGAGCGTGGTTGGTAACAGAGATCGTGGTTGGTAGCAGAGATCGTAGTTGGTTGCAGAGATCGTGGTTGGTAGCAGAGATCGTGGTTGGTGTCAGAGATCGTGGATGGTAACAGAGATCATGGTTGGTAACAGAGACAGGTGGTTGGTAGCAGAGATCGTGGTTGGTTGCAGAGATTGTTGTTGGTAACAGAGATCGTGGTTGGTAGCATAGATCGTGGTTGGTAGCAAAGATCGTGGTTAGTAGCAGAGATCGTGGTTGGTAACAGAGATCGTTGTTGATAACAGAGATCGTGGTTGGTAGCAGAGATCGTGGTTGGTAGCAGAGATCGTGGTTGGTAGCAGAGATCGTGGTTGGTAACAGAGATGGTTGGTAGCAGAGAGATGTGTTGGTAGCAGAGATCGTGGTTGGTAGCAGAGATCGTGGTTGGTAGATCGTGGTTGGTAGCAGAGATCGTGAGTTGGTAACAGAGCAGAGATCGTGGTTGGTAGCAGAGATCGTCGTTGGTAGCAGAGATCGTGGTTGGTAACAGAGATCGTGGTTGGTAGCAGAGATCGTGGTTGGTAGCAGAGATCGTGTTGTTGCAGAGATAGCAGAGAGAGCGTGGTTGGTAGCAGAGATCGTGGTTGGTAGCAGAGATCGTGGTTGATAGCAGAGATCGTGGTTGGTAGCAGAGATCGTGGTTGGTAGCAGAGATCGTGGTTGGTAGCAGAGATCGTGGTTGGTAGCAGAGATCGTGGTTGGTAGCAGAGATCGTGGTTGGTAGCAGAGATCGTGGTTGGTAGCAGAGATCGTGGTTGGTAGCAGAGATCGTGGTTGGTAGCAGAGATCGTGGTTGGTAACAGAGATCGTGGTTGGTAGCAGAGATCGTGGTTGGTAGCAGAGATCGTGGTTGGTAGCAGAGATTGTGGTTGGTAACAGAGATCGTGGTTGGTAACAGAGATCGTGGTTGGTAACAGAGATCGTGGTTGGTAACAGAGACAGGTGGTTGGTTGCAGAGATCGTGGTTGGTAGCAGAGATCGTGGTTGGTAGCAGAGATCGTGATTGGTGGCAGAGATCGTGGTTGGTAGCAGAGATCGTAGTTGGCAACAAAGATCATGGTTGGTAGCATAGATCGTGGTTGGTAGCAGAGATTGTAGTTAGTTGCAGAGATCGTGGTTGGTAGCAGAGATCGTGGTTGGTAGCAGAGATCGTGATTGGTGGCAGAGATCGTGGTTGGTAGCAGAGATCGTAGTTGGCAACAAAGATCGTGGTTGGTAGCAGAGATCGTGGTTGGTAGCAGAGATCGTAGTTGATAGCAGAGATAGTGGTTGGTAGCAGAGATTGTGGTAGCAGCGATTGTGGTTGGTAGCAGAGATCGTGGTTGGTAACAGAGATCGTGGTTGGTAACAAAGACCGTGGTTAGTAACATAAATCGTGGTTGGTAACAGAGATCGTGGTTGGTAACAGAGATCGTAGTTGGTAGCAGAGATTGTGGTTGGTGGCAGAGATCGTGGTTGGTAGCAGAGATCGTGGTTGGTAGCAGAGATCGTGGTTGGTAGCAGAGATCGTAGTTGGTTGCAGAGATCGTGGTTGTTAGCAGAGATTGTAGTTGATAACTGAGAGCGTGGTTGGTAGCAGAGAGCGTTGTTGGAAGCAGAAATTGTGGTTCGTAGCAGAGATCGTGGTTGGTAACAGAGATCGTGGTTGGTAACAGAGATCGTGGTTGGTAACAGAGAGCAGGTGGTTGGTTGCAGATATCGTGGTTGGTTGCAGAGATCGTGGTTGGTTGCAGAGATCGTGGTTGGTAGCAGAGATCGTGGTTGGTAGCAGAGATCGTTGTTGGTAACAGAGATCGTGGTTGGTAGCAGAGATCGTGGTTGGTAGCAGAGATCGTGGTTGGTAGCAGGGATCGTGGCTGGTACCCAATTCCCCGATGTTAGTAAACACTGGTATCCATTACTTAGAGGGTGGGTTAACCCCGGGTACCGCCCGGTTTCGAAAACCGGCCGTCGGCTGCAGCGAGTAGCACTGGATTTGAAAGCGAGTCTCCTATCGACTGCGCTAACACGGCACCTTATCGTGACAGAGTTCACGGCCTATATAATAATTCCTGAGAGCTAGAGTCAAAGGATGCATAATTACAAATACCTTCTTGTATTCAACGTTATTGTTATTATTAAATCGTTGTCTGCTAATTTGAATAGCCATGTCGAGAGAGCGGCCTCGCTTGAGAAGGGTGACATTGGAGTAAACCAAGGGGCTGCCGGACGTGAAGACCGGGTACAAGACAGAACATGGTGTGTCTGCTGCCGGACGTGAAGACCGGGTACAAGACAGAACATGGTGTGTCTGCTGCCTGACGTGAAGACCGGGTACAAGACAGAACATGGTGTGTCTGCTGTGGACGTGAAGACCGTGTACAAGACAGAACATCGTGTGTCTGCTGTGGACGTGAAGACCGGGTACAAGACAGAACATCGTGTGTCTGCTGTGGACGTGAAGACCGGGTACAAGACAGAACATGGTGTGTCTGCTGTGGACGTGAAGACCGGGTACAAGACAGAACATGGTGTGTCTGCTGTGGACGTGAAGACCGGGTACAAGACAGAACATCGTGTGTCTGCTGTGGACGTGAAGACCGTGTACAAGACAGAACATCGTGTGTCTGCTGTGGACGTGAAGACTGGGTACAAGACAGAACATCGTGTGTCTGCTGTGGACGTGAAGACCGGGTACAAGACAGAACATCGTGTGTCTGCTGTGGACGTGAAGACCGTGTACAAGACAGAACATCGTGTGTCTGCTGTGGACGTGAAGACTGGGTACAAGACAGAACATCGTTTGTCTGCTGTGGACGTGAAGACTGGGTACAAGACAGAACATCGTGTGTCTGCTGTGGACGTGAAGACTGGGTACAAGACAGAACATCGTGTGTCTGCTGTGGCTAAGACATAAACAGGGTCCAGGGCTGTAACTCAGCTGCCTGCCGCTGTACACGCCTCCGCTACCCGACTTGTAGGAGTGGGAGAAAAAAGCCAAACTGTATACAAGTCACGTATGTCTGAACTGATGGGTCTAGAGCAAATTTTGCCAGACAGTACTGTATGGTGTCTGCATATTTTAGAAGCCCAAACAGTTGAACGATGGAAACTATTCGCAACCAGTTCGGAATAATTTGAAATGCATTAAAGTACTCTGAAGTAATAGAACAGCTGCGTTAGGAATTCCAATGCGCACTGAAGACTGTACAGTTGCTTGGAATGGTCAGAAATACTGTGATATCTTTTGAAATATTCAATTGCTGTCATGTGGTATGCAGTAGCATTAGGTGCTGTAAAGCAACCAATTATGTGGTAAAGTACCCAGTATGTGGTAAAGCACCACGATCTGTAGTAAAGCACCACGGTGTGTGGTAAAGCACCACGGTGTGTGGTAAAGCACCACGATGTGTGGTAAAGCACCACGGTGTGAGGTAAAGCACCACGATGTGTAGTAAAGCACCACGGTGTGTGGTAAAGCACCACGGTGTGTGGTAAAGCACCACGGTGTGTAGTAAAGCACCACGGTGTGTGGTAAAGCACCACGTTTTGTAGTAAAGCACCACGGTGTGTGGTAAAGCACCACGGTGTGACGATGTGTGGTAAAGCACAACGGTGTGTGGTAAAACACTACGGTGTGTGGTAAAGCACCACAGTGTGTGGTAAAGCACTACAGTGTGTAGTAAAGCATCACGGTGTGTGGTAAAGCACCACGTTTTGTAGTAAAGCACCACGGTGTGTGGTAAAGCACCACGGTGTGACGATGTGTGGTAAAGCACTACGGTGTGTGGTAAAGCACCATGGTGTGTGATAAAGCACTACGGTGTGTGGTAAAGCACCACGGTGTGTGGTAAAGCATATTTTGGGGTTGTAATAATCTTGTTAAACTTGCTCTCTCTCTATTCTCCCATACTCTTTCCCCCGTCCTTTATTATATCTTTCTCTTATTCTCTCCGACTCTCCTCTCTCTCTCTCTCTCTCTCTCTCTCTCTCTCTCTCTCTCTCATTGTCTCTTTCTTATTTTGCCTTACACTCACCCTCACCTTTAATTATGTCTTTCTTCTCCACTCCCCCATCTCCTCTCTCTCTCTTTGTCTTCCTTACTCTCTCCCTCGCCTTTTATTCTGCCTTCTACCCGTCCATTTCTCCCTCTCGGTCTCTCTATCTTTAGAGATCATGCATCCTCTCACATTCGTTCGTCGTTCGTTCTCTCTCCCTCACTCTCTGTCCCAGTCTGTACAACGCTACCATCAGTTGGACCCACTCTAGCAGACTCTATCTGATCTCACTACATGTGTGTGTGTGTGCGTGCGTGCGTGCGTGCGTGTGTGTGTGTGTGTGTGAAGTGTATGTGTGTGTGGGTGTGGGTGTGTGTGTACGTGGATGGCTGCGTGGGAAGTATTATGTGTGTGTGCGTGCTAGTGTGTGTGTGTGTTTGTGTGCTATCTTCCCTACTGTCTTTGGTGGAGATTGGCGGCAGTGCATCTACTACTGTCTTTGGTGAAGATTGTCGGCAGTGCATCCACTACTGTCTTTGGTGGAGATTGTCGGATGTGTATCCACTACTGTCTTTGGTGGAGATTTAGGAGATTGTCGGCAGTGCATCCACTACTGTCTTTGGTAGAGATTGTCGGGAATACATCCACTGCTGTCTTTGGTGGAGATTGTCGGCAGTGCATCCACTTCTGTCTTTGGTGGAGATTGTTGGCAGTGCATCCACTACTGTCTTTGGTGGAGATTGTTGGCAGTGCATCCACTACTGTCTTTGGTGGAGATTGTGGAGATTGTTGGCAGTGCATCCACTACTGTCTTTGGTGGAGATTGTTGGCAGTGCATCCACTACTGTCTTTGGTGGAGATTGTGGAGATTGTCGGCAGTGCATCCACTACTGTCTTTGGTGGAGATTGTTGGCAGTGGCAATCCACTACTGTCTTTGATTGTGGAGATTGTGGAGATTGTCGGCAGTGCATCCACTACTGTCTTTGGTGGAGATTGTGGCAGTGCATCCACTACTGTTGGGGAGTGCATCCACTACTGTCTTTGGAGAGATTGTCGGCAGTGCATCCACTACTGTCTTTGGTGGAGATTGTGGAGACTTGTTGGAGATTGCGGCAGTGCATCCACTACTGTCTTTGGTGGAGATTGTTGGCAGTGCATCCACTACTGTCTTTGGTGGAGATTGTTGGCAGTGCATCCACTACTGTCTTTGGTGAGAGAATGTCGGAATGCATCCACTACTGTCTTTGGTGGAGATTGTTGGCAGTGCATCCACTACTGTCTTTGGTGGAGATTGTTGGCAGTGCATCCACTACTGTCTTTGGTGGAGATTGTTGGCAGTGCATCCACTACTGTCTTTGGTGGAGATTGTCGGCAGTGCATCCACTACTGTCTTTGGTGGAGATTGTTGGCAGTGCATCCACTACTGTCTTTGGTGGAGATTGTCGGCAGTGCATCCACTACTGTCTTTTGAATGTCGGGAAGATTGTGGAGATTGTTGGCAGTGCATCCACTACTGTCTTTGGTAAAGATTGTGGAGATTGTTGGCAGTGCATCCACTACTGTCTTTGGTAAAGATTGTGGAGATTGTCGGCAGTGCATCCACTACTGTCTTTGGTGGAGATTGTGGAGATTGTCGGCAGTGCATCCACTACTGTACTGTCTTTGGTAAAGATTGTGGAGATTGTCGGCAGTGCATCCACTACTGTCTTTGGTAAAGATTGTGGAGATTGTCGGCAGTGCATCCACTACTGTCTTTGGTAAAGATTGTGGAGATTGTCGGCAGTGCATCCACTACTGTTTTTGGTGGAGATTGTCGGCAGTGCATCTACTACTGTTTTTGGTGGAGATTGTCGGCAGTGCATCCACTACTGTTTTTGGTGGAGATTGTCGGCAGTGCATCTACTACTGTCTTTGTTGGAGATTGTGCAGATTTTTGGCAGTGCAACGGGAATTAAGCCCTGTTGTGTCGGTAATTGCACTGTTAAAATGACTTCTACTAAGATCAAAGCTGAGGGCCGTACGGTTACTTTCTACAGTATTTATCATGTATGTCCAGAAAAAGAAAACGAATGTCTTTCTTCTCCACTCCCCCATCTCCTCTCTCTCTCTCTTTGTCTTCCTTACTCTCTCCCTCGCCTTTTATTCTGCCTTCTACCCGTCAATTTCTCCCTCTCGGTCTCTCTATCTTTAGAGATCATGCATCCTCTCACATTCGTTCGTCGTTCGTTCTCTCTCCCTCACTCTCTGTCCCAGTCTGTACAACGCTACCATCAGTTGGACCCACTCTAGCAGACTCTATCTGATCTCATTACATGGTTGCATTGCAGCCAGGAGTAGCTCTTGCCCTCTTTGTGCCAATCAAACTCTAACAGTGGCTATTACATAAGGTCTGCTGGGGCGGCTGCGCCCAGACGACGCCCGGGAAATGACGGGTCTTGTGCACACGGACATGGTCATGACCTAGCTCTCTGAGGCACATTTTTTTTAACCCTTTTGTGCAGATATCGGTGTCAGATCCACATACACGATCGTTAGGGTGTGTGTGTGTGGGTGTGTGTGTGTGTGTGTGTGTGTGTGTGTGTGTGAAGTGTATGTGTATGTGTGTGTGTGTGTGTGGGTGTGTGTGTACGTGGATGGCTGCGTGGGAAGTATGTATGTGTGTGTGTGTGTGTGCGCGCGTGCGCGCGTGCGTGTGTGTTTGTGTGCTATCTTCACTGCTGTCTTTGGTGGAGGTTGTCGGCAGTGCATCCACTGCTGTCTTTGGTGGGGATTGTCGGCAATGCATCCACTACTGTCTTTGGTAGAGATTGTCGGGAATACATCCACTATTGTCTTTGGTGGAGATTTTCGGCAAGGCATCCACTAGTGTCTTTGGTGGGGATTGTCGGCAGTGCATCCACTACTGTCTTTGGTGGAGATTGTCGGGAATGCAACCACTGCTGTCTTTAGTGGAGATTGTCGGCAGTGCATCCACTACTGTCTTTGGTGGAGATTGTCGGCAGTGCATCCACTACTGTCTTTGGTGGAGATTGTTGGCAGTGCATCCACTACTGTCTTTGGTGGAGATTGTTGGCAGTGCATCCACTACTGTCTTTGGTGAAGATTGTCGGGAATGCATCCACTTCTGTCTTTGGTGGAGATTGTGGAGATTGTCGGCAGTGCATCCACTACTGTCTTTGGTGGAGATTGTCGGCAGTGCATCCACTACTGTCTTTGGTGGAGATTGTTGGCAGTGCATCCACTACTGTCTTTGGTGAAGATTGTCGGGAATGCATCCTCTTCTGTCTTTGGTGGAGATTGTGGAGATTGTCGGCAGTGCATCCACTACTGTCTTTGGTAGAGATTGTCGGCAGTGCATCCACTACTGTCTTTGGTGGAGATTGCGTAGATTGTCGGCAGTGCATCCACTACTGTCTTTGGTAGAGATTGTCGGCAGTGCATCCACTTCTGTCTTTGGTGGAGATTGCGTAGATTGTTGGCAGTGCATCCACTACTGTCTTTGGTGGAATTTGTCGGGAATGCATCCACTACTGTCTTTGGTGGAGATTGTCGGCAGTGCATCCACTACTGTCTTTGGTAGAGATTGTCGGCAGTGCATCCACTACTGTCTTTGGTGGACATTGTGGAGATTGTTGGCAGTGCATCCACTACTGTCTTTGGTGGAATTTGTCGGGAATGCATCCACTACTGTCTTTGGTGGAGATTGTCGGCAGTGCATCCACTACTGTCTTTGGTGGAGATTGTTGGCAGTGCATCCACTACTGTCTTTGGTGGAATTTGTCGGGAATGCATCCACTACTGTCTTTGGTGGAGATTGTCGGCAGTGCATCCACTACTGTCTTTGGTGGAGATTGTTGGCAGTGCATCCACTACTGTCTTTGGTGGAGATTGTGGAGATTGTCGGCAGTGCATCCACTTCTGTCTTTGGTGGAGATTG